AGTTTAATTGATATATTAATTTGATCAGTACATTTAACTATTTTTTCATATTGTGTTATGAATTATAGTTGATACTATCAGTGGGTAGAGCGATGGAAAATAATATCTTAATTACGAACTTGTTCACAAACTCTGAGAGATTGGGTACAGTAAGAGAGCGTGTTCATTTGACGGACAATTAGTTTTTACAATGTGTTGTTCTCGAACATTGAAACTTCCAATCAGACTTTGTGCAAAGCTGCAGCCATCTAATTCACTGAAAAATGTGCAAGTCTGAAGATACACAATAATGTAATCAGTGGACATTGTCGTATCCCAAAAGGAGATGGAAGACAGAGCTTCAGTGAGAGGCAGACTTTATCAATATTAGTGAAGTAACACTCTAACTCACTAATTGCTGTTACCAAATACTAGTATGTGATCGCTATGATGTAGCTTCTTTACAAAAGATGTGCGCACTGACTATCAATAGCTTTTAACATCTTGGCTTTTAGACGAAGTGACGAACTAGGACAGTTTCTTAGCACCTTAGCTCCGAGACGAACTATGAGAGCTTTTACGAACTAAGTTCTGAAACCTATGTGATGTAATGCCTATATGAGCTTTCACCATCTTGACTCCGAGATCTATGCAATTGAACTTTTCATGTCCCATTGTTTTTGCCTTTGTTGTGCCTTTACAAAAAAACTATAAACTTACAAAAGTCTTCTTCACCCAAACACAATGGCTTATTGTATAAAAATCTTACTGACATTTCCGTTCACCGAAATCAAAGATTTTATAAACCACATGGATCATTCCTGTTTAAACACTAATATACATTTTATTGAGTTATTATAAGTTGTGAGGAAAACTCCTGGATGATTTGGTCCAAGCGATTACCCTTAAACATGTTAATGTTCACCGTGTAAATATATATTAACTGTTATTTGAGTATCTGAACAAAAACTCAGAAACAATGTTTGAAAGATCTTTAATTATATTTTTTATTAGTGGAAAATAAAAAAACAAATTTTAAACTAGGAGACTTATTGTTCACAAAACAATAAGAGGTCTTTCCACCTCTTTAAATTTCTTATAGTTTTATATTTTACTCTCTAATTTAATTTTAAGGGAAATGGCTTAAAAAAAGAAAATAAAATTTTTTTTTTTTTAATGACCTTGACCTTTGACCTTGATCAGGTCCTTTGACCTTGATCAGGTCTTCAAGGTCAAAGGTCAAGGGTCACATTGCAATTGACCCCATGCCTCTACGACTTTTAGTTCTATAGTTATAAGTTTAAATATTAAGTGCAAAGAAGTTAAAGGGCAATAACTCATATAAGGGGTCATTAGATCCTTTAGTACTTATACAATGAAGGTGTGCCTACAGACCCTTAAGATATTAGTGAATGTTTCATGCCTCTACGGTTTACGGTTTTGAAGTAGTAGTGATAACAATGTTTTTCGCATAAGGGACAATAACTTTTGATAGGGTCAATCTTGGGGAACAAGAATGAAATCTTTGAAATAGTTTTAAGAGTACTTATTAATGATGCAAAGACTGATTGCATATGTTAAAAGACAAAAGATATATAAAAAAAGCTTAATTTCACATTTTTGGAATGACCTTGACCTTTGACCTTGACAAAATATTCAAGGTCAAAGGTCAAGGGTCACAATGCAATTAATCCCATGCTTCTACCATTTATAGTTTTCAAGATACAAGGTTTAATAGTAAGTATACAGAAGTTAAAGGGCAATAACTCATATAAGGGGTCATCAGATTCTTTGCATTTATACAGTGAAGTTAGGTTTAAAGACCCTTAAGACATTAGTGAAGGTTTGGTGTCTCTAGGGTCTACGGTTTCGGAGGAGTAGCGATAACAAGGTTTTTCGCAGAAGGGGCAATAACTTTTAGAAGGATTAATCTTAGGGGACAAGAATGAAATCTTTGAAACAGTTTTAAGAGTACATATTAATGATGCATAGACATTAAGTATATGTTGAAAGACAAAAGAGATACAAAAAGAGCTAATTTTCTCATTTTTGAAATGACCTTGACCTTTGACCTTTACATGAATTTTAAGGTCAAAGGTCACTGAATGCAGTTCGTCCCATGTCTCTATGACTTCTTGTTTTGAAAATTTTTAATTATTTGTAAAATTCAAAAAGTTTCAGGGGCAATAACTCATTGAAGGGAGCACCGAATGCTTTCGCAATGAATAGACTGAAGAGTCCTCTTAATTAGTCAAAGACATTGGTGAAAGTTTCATACCTCTACGGTTTACGGTTTCAGAGGAGTAGCGATAACAAGCATTTCTTGCAAAAGGGGCAATAACTTCGATAGGGGTCAAGGTTCATTTACGCAGGGTGAACTGCAATAATCTTTTAAGGAGTACATTCTTATGGACTATAAATCTTTTCGATAAGTCTTCAAACAAAAAAACATGCGGCGGAAAAATAATAATAAAAAAAAAACTAGGAGACTTATTGTTCAAAGAACAATAAGAGGTCTTTCCACCTTCTATGAATTTTAATTTTGTTTTATATCTGACTCCTTAAAATTAAATTCCATGAATAAGAAAACAAAACGGTCTTAAAAGGATAAATTAAAAAAAAAAAAGAAGATAAAAAAAAAATGAAATGACTTTGACCTTGAAAAAATTTTCAAGGTCAAAGGTCAAGGGTCACAACGCAATTGACCCCATGCCTCTACGAGTTATACTTTTCAAGTTATAAGGTTTAATAGTAAGTACAAAGATGTTAAAGGGCAATAACTCATATAAGGGGTCATTAGATCCTTTCGCACTTATACAGTGAAGTTAGGCCTAAAGATCCTCAAGACATTAGTGAAGATTTGGTGTCTCTACGATCTATGGTTTCGGAGGAGTAGCGATAACAAGATTTTTCGCACAAGGGGCAACAACTTTTAAAAGGGTCAATCTTAGGGGACAAGAATGAAATTTCGAAAGAATATTAAGAGTGCATATCAAAGACAGAAGATAGATTTTATATGTTTGAGGATATAAGAGCTATTAAAAGAAATTTATTCCTCATATTTGGAATGACCTTGACCTTTGACCTTGAAATAAATTTGAAGGTCAAAGGTCAATAAAACTTATGCACTTAGTTTCATGTCTCTACGACTTTTCATTTTGAAAATTTTTAGTTTTTTTTATAAAATTTATAAAAAAGCAAAGGTTATCTGTAAATCTTGCCCACAAGCTTTAACGGACACACTAACATACACACAATGGCCATGCAACTAGTTGCGCGAGGGGATAAAAAATCGGCCCTGACAAAAAATGTGATAAAAGGGAAGTTGTCTTTAAGTGAAGAAAAAATTCAGTTATTGTCCATTTTATGCAAACAATTTTATTACGATTCGTTTCAAAGTATCAGTAAAATTATGTTGTGTTTGACTAATTTAAATATTATTAAATTGAAAAAAATATATGTTTGAAAATAGATATAAGTTGCTAAAAGTACTGATACCAAATCAGTGGCGGATCCAGGATTTTGGATTAGAGTTGGTTCTATGGGATGTAACAGCCTCTGGGTAATTAAATAGATAATTTTCATATGACGTATTTTCTCTCCGAGTTATTTCTCTTGGGCGCCATCTTAGTGGTCAACCTGTCAGGTATTTTTTTTCTTTTTCTACCCAAATTTAAGTAGGTGTAGCAGAATTACTTTTGGGGGTATCTCTCTAAATAAAATTTATGAAAAGAAGGATCTAACAAATGTAAATTTCTCAGACAAAACGATTCCTAACCTATAAATGCATGAAAAGTTAAAAGCATGCTGACCTTCAATATGACGGCCAACGGATAATAACCTTTTAATTTGGGCCTACTGAAAGCTAACTTGTATATATATGCTTTTCATACCATGTATAGTATATTCGTATTAAATTGTAATTGGTTGACGGAATATCGTATGTATGTATCGTGTCATATCGTAGTCATTCGTACGAAACGAATATCTTATTGCCTCTGATTTTCTGTTATAAATGTAGACCCATAATCTTTATAATTCTACCATGTGAATTTGAAATCTTGATGTCAGAACTGATAATTAAATATATATATATATATATTGTGTAAATTTTGCACCTGTATAGATTATCTTTACTGGTTGCAACCGTGAATAAAACTTTTATTTATGAATTATCGATAACAAATGGGTAGCAATTGTTCCTTCGCCATGCAATCGTCAACATTAAGTGAAAGTTGCGGGTCCTTCGGATGATATCTTAGAAACCGAGCCTTGTGTGACAGTAGACCTTGACACGATCAAGAGCCCTCACTGATTAAAGGTCGTAAGTGCGGAGTCAAGGTCAAATTTGAAGCCCTTCCCCGGTATATATGAGTAAAACATTACCGAATAAAACAACATACAATCATTCAATCCAAACCTTTAGAATTTCATGAATTTATTCCATTAACCTTTCAGCATAGATATTGTAACATGATTTCGAAATAATGATATTAAAACTATATTTAATCATGATATTAAAATATAAAACCAATATACTTATGTAATTTTATTAACATAATGATAAATAGCACAAACAATTTTTTTCTGAAACCAGCGGTATTTCTTATAGATTTACATTTCAATCGTTCACCTGAATAATGTTTACCAACAATACCGGAAAAATTGTATAGATTTTGTCACAAGGGTAAATATTTGTGCAAATTTTTTTTGATAGAATTATATAGAAAGCAAAATAAAGTCTTAGTCTAATTACCAAAGACAGCATACGATTTCTTTATACGTATTTAAGGGATTTTTTTATTTCACGCATGTCATTTGTTTGTGTAAAGAATCCTTCAGTTGCTTGAAAACGTATAGCTGCAGCACTGTACCTCTCCGAAAAAATATATTGACTGACCGGAGTGCTACTGTGCCACCCATTGTAAAAACTGTATATTTATTGCACACAAAAGTCCAGTTTAGTTGTAGATTAATTTTGTAAAATACAAATATGTTAATTGAAAAAAAATTCTCAAAAAGGATGTCTGAAAGATCTTTAATGATATTTCTATGATTATAGTAAAATAAAAAAGAAAACAAATTAGAATAAGAGTTTCTTGCCTCTTTCTTTGAAACTATAGACACGTAAAGTACAAAGTAGAGTTAAAATTGTGTTCACTCCAACACTAGGAAAATAAAAAAGTCATGAAGTCTGGAAAAGAGCAAAGCAATTATTCTTTGTTTTATAGAACATTTTTTTAAGGGCAAGCGTTTTTTTTTGTTTTTTTTTTGTTGGCTGTGGTCCTTTTAATTTCATCATTAGTTAAAGAATCGGGAAACGACGACTCCCAGTACCATGGTTAAAAAACTAAGGACAGGTGCACCGGAACCGGCTAAAAATTAGAACAGAAACATTTTGTAGAAAAAAAATCAAATGACAATTTTCAGTTCACAATAAAGTCATCAATAAAACTTACAACATCCTGCCCCAGTCAAGAGCTTTCTGGCGGGCGCTGTTATAGTATCCGCACTACCAGCACCACATTTCTCCGCAGCGTCTCCCAGACATGTAAGATAATCATTGATATCTCTACAATTTCAACACATCATGCATTAAAAAGGAGAAATGGCTTAGGTCAAACTAAATCAAACGATTAAAATAAAAAAAGCAAAATAAAACTTCATAGTTTTTATTGTAAAAGCTAATTCAGAAAATTGGTGTCCCTCAATTCGGGAAAAAAAGAGAGCATGTGCAGTTGGGTGGATTTCCCCCTGAATTTGTTTAAATGTATATTGAAGTAAATAAAAAATGCCAATATGGATATAAAGATTTGATAGGTTATATTTTTGTGTGTATAAAAGATTCTTTTTATATAAAATATTTATCACACTGTAATGATAATTTTATGAGTTTGTACAGGCCAGACGACATCACTTTTTTTCATTTCACAGTCATGCTGAATTGAGTAAAAAAAAAACACCCCCCCCCCCCCCGAAAAAAAAAGAAGGGATCGTTTGGGAATCAAACCCGGGGCATCTCACATGTCAAGCTAGAGATATACCCCTCAAAGCAACTTTAAAATATATAGGAAATCCTAAGAAGAAAATAACCCATATAACCATCTTCGTCAGAGAATCATAATAATTATACATATTACCAATGGAATATTTAAACAATATTATCAAGCCATTTCATTAATAATATCTAATTATGAGGAGTGGAAGCCGAAAATATATAATAATCACTATTTGTTCTTTACTTTATCAAATTATAAAATCTAAATTTATCAATTCATTAATTCTTTGACATTGAGTTTCTTCAAACATTAGTCTTTCGAAATCCCAGTTTTGTTTACATCATATAATCTTTCATGTTTATAATATTTGGTTTGCGTGCATTTAAGCGAGATATTCACACCTGGCATGCACAAAATAAACAAAATGATTTGATTTGTAGGTTCACCACTGATTTGTCTTCATAAGATAAACAAAACCTTATAATGCGACTCAATTTTGTATGATACACATAATAATGCTATGTATCAGAAAGCTTATGTTTGGGCTATTCAATTATTTTTAGAAATTGCTAATGTACAACAAGGGCATGGCACTGTATAAAAAGAACTTTGCACAACACACGAAAATTGTATGTTGCTGCGCCATGCTAAAACCACAAGAAAAAACAACAACACTACTTCCATGGCTCTATGTGGAATGAAACTCTGGTCAGATACCGTGATTCGAAGATTGAACCCATGGCCGAAACCAAACTTGCAGTAGAATCCGGAACCTAAATTATGATTTTAAGGTTCCAATCGGAACGCGAAATATCCGGAACGTAAATTATGCGACGGCGGACAGACTCAAATTAATATCCCCAACTTTCAGCGAAAGCGGGTGACAAAAACAGGTGTATCTTATGTCATATAGAAAATAAACCACAAACAAAATTGTAATTAGTGTTACACATTTACAGTACGGGCAATCACACGATTCGAACAAAAGTATAACTTTTCAAAAAGCTTATCGTCTTTAGCAACATTTTAAACAGTAATTGACCTCTACATGTATCTATCAGGTTGTATCATTACTGAGAATTTCTTGGCTTTTTATTTCTTCAGTTTACTTTTAATGAATTATGTCTACAATTAAAAAAAATAATCGAGTATTTTATTAGCTTTTAAAAGTAACGATTTTCATTTAAAAAATTATTACGAAGAATTCGCTTCGTGAAAAGTATCGTAAAATATGTGACATATGAGGACTAGCTTCTCTTCTCTCCAGGTTTTTAAAATCTTTTTTAGACGAATGTTTCGCAAAATGTTTTACCAGGATTTTTCTCTTATATGTCCTTATAAATTACACAATCTCCAAACTTGCATTGTATTTAAAAGCACATTACCCCCATCCAACAGACGTTGCCTACGTCCACCGCCCGCTAAATTAAGAAATCGCTATGTTAAGCACTGCAACAACTACATCAACACTGAGAAAAAAACTAGTTGAAGTGCTAAGAAGACTAGTAAATTTACTGTCCATACAATCACTACCTTAAAAGTAGTTTTACTAGGTATTGGGTAGATTTACTAGATAAGATTAGTAAATCTAGAATTGATAAGTAACTTTCACTAGGTATTTAAGTACACTGTATCTATACTACCCCCGCTCCACTTCTAACTATTTTAGCCAGTAAACAGAAAGATAACTAATCACGACAAACGCTTTACGAGGCACACTAGTTAAAATCACTATGTATTTCTTTCATTGAACGAGACTAGCAACGAACGACACGATGATGATACATTTGTATTAGTAACCACCTCCTCGTGACGTTTTTCTTTCAACCATGAAATAGATCACAACTATAAGAACATTGACTTACTTGCATACTTTTTCCTTGTCTTTTCCGTCTGATGGCTTAGAGATAGTACACTTTCCGGCATCTGCACAAGCATCGATCACTGCGTAAAAAGATTTTTGTGGTTCAGTTTTTGCTCTTTAATTGTTAAGCGAACTATTTCCTCTTTGATCAAAATTTTAAATCAATACCTGTAAACCTCTTCAACCCGAAGAACTATAATCAAAGTTTTAGTTGGTATTTCTGATAATGAACTTGTACCCTCTTTTGATAATCAAATTAATACTTTGTTTAATTAAATCTCCATTTAACGTTTGATTTGCACATTTGATAGGATGAATAATGAAACCAAGAACAACGGAAAACTTGCGTCCTTTCTTCAATTGCCTAATTTTGTTTCATAAAAAGGTCATAAACGATCTCTTTTATGCTAACAACTATGACCTAGAATTTAATTCAAACACTTGTTTACCACACAGTAAAACTGAGAATAGACTTAGGTCAACTTTATAGTCTTGAATATCTTTCTTCACTAGAGTCTTAAAAAGTATATCTTTCCATAAAAAAAATAATACAATCATGTTAAAAGAAATTGATTTGATTGTCAAAATTACTTCCGAAATCATCTGAAATTTTGTATGAGATATGTTTTCAAGTTACGATTTTGATGCCAGGTTTACCCGAAAAGGGAAAACAAATGCCAGATATTGAAACACTTAAAAATAATCATTTGTTGTAATTTGGGATGCTGCTCTATTTATTTTACATTTCACATTATGGATAAGGTCGAACTATGTTTTTTTACAATGACAAACAACAAATTACAAGTTACAATGTACGATGTTTTACCTTTAATGACAACACTAACTGTCAACAAGGCGGCAAGGAGGAAAGCAACACTGGTCACCGACATTGTGGGATACTGCTGTAAGCGTTTAGTGATGGATTACGGTAATTAAGAAATAAACCTTAAAAACTGAGAAATAAATATAAGTAAGCATGAAAGTTTATTTACTCAATTTCAAAATAAAACAAATAAAAAAGTTATCAATTGATAGAAATGATTCCCTCAGAGATCATTATTCAAAATCAAAAATAAATTGATAGGAATTTTTGATATTTAATATAAATCGAACAAAATTGGAAACAGATGTTTCACTGCTAATGAGTAGTAAATTATTTTGGATTAAAATTATTAATAGTACACATATAACTAAATTTCTTTTAAAAAAATAATGAAATGGTTATAGAGAAGTAAAATACCTGTGTGGCACCAACTTCTGAACGGTTTATGAAATCTTCGCACAGAAAGCGCGCTTTTATATACATGTACTTATATACTCTCTGTCTTCCGCCTTCCCTTATGATTGGTAGTATCGTGCATCCAGTCAGCTCGGCTGTCTCCGGAACCTAGTACTATCAGAACCTTTGGTAAAGATCCGTGATAGCGTATATAACGCAAAAACGAGGCTTACCGAATTTCTGGTAGTCTTTCATTAACTGAAAAGAACACACAACCATAATTGAAACAGATTATTTTTTTCATACATTTGATCTAATATCGACTAATTGTTATATGTGTAGTGATTGAAGTTTGGGTAAATTTCAAAGTTTTCATTAAAAATTCAAATAATCATTTAATATTGCCGAAAACATAGGTACTACATTTACAATTAATCTGTTTATATAACATCCTGGGTCAAAAACAAACATTTTATGTACGTCAGGAGTTAAAGGGGCTTGGACACAGATTCAGCTAAAATTTCAAAATCGATTTTTCCATTTTTACAAATATTTTACTAGGGTCTTTCTAATGATTGATTGATTGTATACTGTTTAACGTCCCTCTCCAGAATATTTCACTGATATGGAGACGTCACCATTGCCGGTGAAGGGCTGCAAAGAACTATATGCGGTATGTTGCATATAGTTGCCCCCACAAAAGTCAAATTTTGAAAACTGAAATATGCTGAATTTAGTAAATTGTATGAGAAATATAAATTAATTGAAAATATTATAGTGTCAAAGCAGTGTATTCATAATTTTTGTTTTTATGACGTCACAAACTAGTCCGATTTTATATCCTTTTTCAGAAAAAGGACAAAATGGACAAAATTTCAACAATTTTAGCTTTAAAATTTATAGAGCGCAAGTTTGTTCAGGAACAATATTGACATATTTCATTGATATTATCATTCTACACATTATATCAAAATATTGATCCTGAACACACATGCGCTCGGTGATTTTTACTCAAAATATCGACGAAATATGTACATTTTTCTGTAAAATTCATAAAAAAACTGAAATTTACGTCATGTTTGTGACGTCATTACAAACATATGGCGTCATTAATTATGAAAATATTCAGTGCTTCGAAGTCAGTGTATACTCCCCTGTTTAAGAACTTAATTAAATATATCTCCATCAAAGTTTGATTTGGGGGGCAAATATTGGTTATTACCGAATAAAGTTCTTTAGGCCTATGCTCGGCACTTACGGCCTATGAGCAGGGAGGGATCTTTATCGTGTCACACCTGCTGTGACACGGGGCCTCGGTTTATACGGTCTCATCCGAAGGACCGCCCCATTTAGTCGCCTTTTACGACAAGCAAGGGGGTACTGAGGACCTATTCTAACCCGGATCCCCACGGGGTGTCTTTCTAATGATCATCAATCATCTGAACATCAGTTGTCGAGATACAAGACAGATTTAGGGCCCCAAACCTCTGTTATGTAAACAAAGCCCGTGTCGTGTTTTTGTTTACATAGGTTAATATACTATAATATTTTCGTTCGAAGTAGATAATTTCAATAAAGAAGTTAATTTTAAATACGATTCGACGGTTTCTTTTGATTTACTTACTTTCATTTTGTTATAAATATGATATTTTCTATATGTAAGCAAAAACAAGGCACGAGCCTTGTTTACATTATGGAGAACCTTAAGTTCTGTATCTCGTTTGTTAGTCATCAAATGATGTTCAAATTTTTGCTAATCATTAGTTGAGGACTTAAGTATGTATTGTAAACATTAAAATTAGTTTAAAACATTCAGTTGAAACTGTGTCCATGCCCCTTTAAAGGGATTACACAACGCTTATGTTTCCCATCGGCAGGAATTTTAAAACAGATTTTGTTAGGTATTTTTACTTCGAATATAAACCTCAATTCATTTTACTTGCATATAAGGATGTCTTTTTTGATGGAGGATTTTTTCGTGCTCTTTATAAACTCTTTTATTGTGAAGCTTAATTCATGACCATTATTTACCATAACTATACACTTAGCAGGCTTACTTTGGTTACATAATACCCTAGAGGTAGATCCGAGTAACAGAAAATGCATTACAACTTTACAACCATCATTCAATGAGAGTGAAATCTAAATAAATGTAATAAATTTAATTATGCACCCTCCCCTTGAAATAAATATTTTGGACGCACCTTTCTTCATCATAAATATGTACTTCGACCATTACCATAATAACCATGAGCAAAGGAAAAGATTTTCAAAGAATGCGTGCATTTTCACAATATAATTATTAGGGTCCCACCCTAACACCAGAACCCAGGGGCCCTGAAATTCACAATTTCAGAGAAGCATTCTTCCTCATCATAACTATGTACATAGTTTATTGGTTACATACCCTGGAGGAGAAAAGAAAATTTCTAAAGAATTTGGTTTTTTTTCACTATATAAACACCAGAACCACTGATCCTGTTGCCATTAAATTCACATTTTTGAAGAGGCAGCCTTATTCAAAATAGCCATGTACTTAGTTAGTTTATTTAATACCCAGGAGCAGAGAAGATTTTCATAGAAGAATGCATTGTCATTTTATAATCTATTTAGCCCCGCCCTAGCACTAGAACCACTGACCATTGGGCGATGAATTTCACCAATTTGGTAAAATACTCCATGCCTACAGTTTCACTCCTTGATGTCCTGGAATAAAGATGTATAAAGATTGCAGAGGAGAAGCTGAAAATGTTTAAATGTTAATACAGGACGGACGATTCACGACAACGGACGAAAAGAGTTAGCAATAGGTCACATGAACTCATTAAACATTTGCAAAATGACCGTTGAGAAAGGAGGGAGAGCAGTTGGAATATTGATATCTGGATCATCCTTGCTCCATGTTTTACTCACTTTTATTTTAGTGATTATTCGTCCTTGATATTATTAATAAGAATTATCAACCACTATAAAACCCATTGAAACCCATTTTTCAATGGGCTGTGTGTCATTTTCATCGCCAACTTATCAAAATTTGAGAGCTTTGGACAAAATGTAAGCAAACCGCAAGTGATCTGGATTTTCGTCTGAGGCCAAGTTTTGGCGTCACAACCAGGTTAAAAGACTGTTACATTGTCCTGAAACTATTTTAGAAACATTTAAACAAACAACTTGAATGGTAAGAAAAAGAAATTGGTGCTCGTGTCAATCCAATATTATCTGAAAGAGTCTGAATCATCCTTAAAACGGTACGCTTACGTGCTAGAGCCCGAAGGATATTGACCAAAAGGCATTTGTGATGATGCACTGCCCAATCCCCAGATCTGAATCCCATTGAACACATTTGGGAATTTTATAAGGAATGTTAAAGCCCCCCCCCCTTCGGTCACAATTTCAAGGCTTTAGAAAGACCTGTGCAGTAGGTGTAGCACCAGATTGGTCAATCTCCTATGAAGGGGTACATAGTAATCATAAAAAAAGAATGTCTTGCAGTAATCAGAGCAAGTGGTGGTCTTACTCCATAGAGATTATTTTATGTGAATTTTTATTTGAGGGTACATCCTTTTCTTATCTAAAGAGATATAGGAAATACTTAAATCTTGATTGAATATAATATGTATTTATTTCATTATAACAATTTAAAAAATGGTTAAAATATCTTTGGTTAAATCCCCCCCCTGTTTTTTTTTTTTTCGTTTTCTAATCAATTGTCTTCAAAATATTGATTTTGTAAGCAAATATTTGAAATTGGTACAATTAATATTGCCGGATATTTTACATGTATCTTGTTTAGCTTTATTCAAAGAACGAGTGCACTTACGGGCCCCGGTAAAATGTGATGAAATAAACAATCAGATTAATCAAAATTTTTCATCCCAAACTATTAAATGATATCTAAACCGTACGAGTCAACAAATTTTACCCCTGAAATTCACGGAATATACAAAGAACAAAATCATAGAATGTGGCAGGGGTCAGCCGACATTTGTGATTATCTATAGTAAATCGAGAACGGTCAATCTTTTCAAAGATGTTTACTATGAGCCTAACTTTGTACAAACTTGTGCGAATCACAAAAGACGCATAATACATTTATAAAACTTTTGAGAAAGTAGGAAATTTGTACACGATTAGGCTGGTACTTCAAATATTAAAAATGTACAAAAAGTACAATGTTTTTCCTATAGTAAGCGAGTGCTATTTACCTGTATGACCCATGTTAAACCCACGTGTGGAATAAATTATCTAAAATACTTATAGTCACGTAAGTTCTACCAAGGTAAACATTCCTCAAAGGTTCTCACTGTAAAACATCGGCAGGTTGTGTATCAATTAGTCAAAGTCGTGCCGCTTAAAAAATATTTGTACGTATTTGTTTTTAAAAACACGAGAGTGTAAAGTGAGTTTAGTGCCATTCATAAAAGTGTCTAACATTTTTAACATTCATGCAAAACAGTGAAACAGGTATTGAAAGCCACCTAAACACTTCTTTTCAGTTTCAAATTCAATGAAACTATTATTGTATTTTTTTTAAATCAAATGCAAGAGTACCGATTTCTTAGTTTGATCATTATGCTACAGGCAACTAAACAACTTCATTCAATTTTTTAAAACAGATTTGGCGCAAAAATTAACATTCCACAAACGCGCCCGACTATGATCCACCACCACATTGTTCAAGTGTCGATTCAAATATCTCTTCCCCTCGATTTACATAAACGAAACTCAAAGAAGGTTCGGTACGACTCTTCTGGATTTGGGGTATCCAAGGGCATTTAAAAATATTCAATTGTTTCAAATCCATGCTGATTTAGGACCCATTAAGTATTGCTTAGCTGCAATAATGTAGCCCTCTCCGATTTTTTTTTTTTTTTTTTTTTTTTTTTTTTTGGGAGAGGGCTACAACTCCTTAGGATCTCTATAATGGCGCAGATGCGGCAGTGGATCACTCCCGCACGGATTTCGGCTCAAATTATCAGTAAACGGCTATTTTATTATTATCTCTTACCTGGAATCCAAATATGTAATTATGCAAAACATAAATCGATCCAAAAATATTCACAACGACCCATATATCGGTTATTTTT